GAAAAAGCTGTTTCCTGAGGATTCACCCCACCGAGGGGACTGCTTTAAATGTGGAAAGTCAGGGCATTTTCAGCGGGAGTGCCCTGCGGATTCCATGAAGGTGGATGTGGGGGTGCTGGCAACCGAGCTCGGGGAGACTCAAATGACCAGGTCTTACAAGTGAAGGAAGACCCGGCCTACATATAGTCTATCTGTAGGGGCCAAGATTGGGCCTAAATCTTTGATACACGTGCAAGTGGAAGGAATTCATGCTTCAGCATTGCTAGGTACAGGTTCTCAAGTCACCATTATCTACAGAGACTTCTATGAACGTCATTTGAAACACATTCCTATGGAACCTGCAGGAGAGTTTCAGCTATGGGGCGTTGGGTCTCAAGCTCAACCTGTGGAGGGATGCATAAAAGTGACCATAACTATTCCCCAGTTAAATACCAGGATGATATGTCCTATGGAGCTGGAAGCTTTGATATGCCCTGCAGCCAAGAAAGTGTGTGCCCCAATAATATTGGGTACTAATGCAAAGATGGTACAGGATGTATTCAGGGCCTATCTGACAGAAGTGGGAGATGTCTCCTTAGACTGACTGATGGAGGTCAGCCCTGTCCTAGGAAAAGAGTGTCGACGACTAGCCCTTGCAACAAAACCAGGGTTGTGCCACTATTCAGGAACAGAACCTGCATTTGTGAAGCCTGGTGAGACCAAAACCTTATGAGCCATAGCCTCAATGCACCATGAAATGTTGGGGGGAACTGGACAATACCTTATTGAGTCTCTGCCTGAAGAGGATCAGAAGAAGGGGTGGACTCTCATACCTGAGATAAAAGATTGGCGAAAAAGGTGATGTCGGAGTTTTCCTGTGATGGTACAGAATTTAACCCCCACGGAAATCCGGATTGATCGTCATCAGAAGATTGGTGTAATACACCTTTTAGATCAAGTTTCATCCATCATGTCTGCGAGTGCAGAACAGAAGGATCATGTGAAAGCACCTTTAGATTTTGATCTAGAAGATTCTCCCCTACCACAGCAGTGGAAAGACAGCCTTCGTTCAAAACTGGCCACCCGAGAGGGAGGGTTCTCCAGAGCAGAGATGGACGTGGGGTGTTCTAAGAGTGCCACCCATGCTATAAGACTTGCTGATCCTACTCCTTGCAGAGAAAGGTCAAGAAGAATACCCCCTCGAGATGTGGAAGATGTCCGGGACATACTCCAGCAGATGGAGGGAGCAGGCATCATCACAGAGTCCCGGAGCCCCTATGCCTCACCTATTGTGGTAGTGAGGAAAAAGAATGGTTCAGTTCGGCTATGTGTGGACTACCGTACTCTGAACAAGAGGACTGTGCCAGACCAGTACACTTTGCCCCGGATAGAAGATCTTCTGAATGCCCTATCTGGCAGCCAGTGGTTCAGTGTGCTTGACTTGAGGTCTGGATATTATCAGGTACCCATGAAGAAGGAAGATCAGGAAAAGACAGCTTTCATCTGCCCTTTGGGGTTCTTCCAGTTTACCAGAATGCCACAGGGAGTCACAGGAGCTCCTGCTACTTTTCAGAGGCTGATGGAGAAAACTGTGGGGGATATGAATCCCAAAGAGTGTGTAGTGTATCTAGATGACCTAATTGTTTTCGGGAAGACACCAGAGGAGCATGAACAAAGATTGCTAAAGGTGTTGGATCGACTTCAAGCTGAAGGCCTGAAGCTATCAGTGGACAAATGCCGATTTGCCCAGAACTCTGTCACTTATGTGGGGCACATAGTCTCCGCTGAAGGAGTAGCCACAGATCCTGCTAAAATTGAAGCAGTGTTGAATTGGCCAAGACCAAATAACATCGGTGAGTTGCGGTCCTTTCTCGGATTCTGTGGTTACTACCGGAGGTTCGTGAAAGACTACTCAAAGATTGCTTGAGAGTTACATGACCTGCTGAAGATTATCTCTGACGTAAAGGGTGTTAAGGCACCATATCCTAAAGACCCCTTTGGAGAGAAATGGACTTCAGGATGTGAAGATGCCTTTCTGACACTGAAGAAGAGACTTACAGAAGCTCCTGTCTTAGCCTATGCAGACCCTGAGAAACCATATATCCTCCATGTGGATGCCAGTATGGAAGGCCTAGGCGGTGTACTGCACCAAAGTTATCCAGCAGGATTGAGGCCGGTGGCTTACATAAGTAGGAGTCTTACAGGTGCAGAGAAGAACTATCCAGTCCATAAATTGGAATTTCTGGCACTCAAGTGGGCCATCGTGGATAAGCTGCATGACTATTTGTATGGGGCAACATTTGAAGTAAGGACTGACAACAATCCACTTACCTACATCCAGACTACAGCTAAGCTGGATGCCACAGGACATAGGTGGTTGGCTGCCTTGTCAAACTACAGTTTCAGCCTGAAGTACAAGCCTGGGCCCAAGAATGTCAGCGCAGATGCCCTGTCCCGCAGACCTAGACTCCCCCCTCACCAAAAAGAAGAGGAGTGGGAAGAGATCCCTGGGCCGGGGGTAGGAGCCTTTTGTCAGATGTATGTGGTGGCCGAGAGTCAAGAAGAATTTGCCGAGCTAAGAGGGATAGACTCCATTAGCCACTCTCCTGAAGCTGTGCCTGAGGTGTTCCATGCTCCTGTCATGCTTCAACAGTGGTCCGGTATAACCACAGAAGACAAGAGGAAGGCTCAAGCGCAGGACTGGTATATTGGGATAGTTATCAGAGCAATAAAGACTAAGAATCCTAAATTGCTGACTTCTCTACCTGTGAATCAAAGAGAATTATTCCGAAGAGAATGGAGCCGACTACATCTCGAAGATGGAGTACTCTATAGGGTCGTGAAGTATCATGATCACCCTGACAGAAAACAATTGGTACTACCGCACCGATACCGTGGCATGGTCCTGAGAGCTCTCCACGATCAACATGGGCATCTCGGGGTGGACAAGACCTATGGCCTACTACAAGATCGGTTCTATTGGCCTCGCATGAGGGAACATGTCGAGCAACATGTAAAGACATGCAGGAGGTGTATCCAGAGGAAGACCCTGCCTGTGAGAGCTGCCCCTATGGGTCATCTGAAAAGTACGGGACCCATGGATCTTGTGTGCATGGACTATCTCTGCATTGAGGACGATACAGCAGGAATTGGAAATGTGCTGGTGGTAACGGACCACTTCACCAGATATGCTCAAGCCTTGAATAAACTATAGTAAGAGGAAAAAATTCCCTAAAAGGAAAAATAAATCCTCCACTAGAGCTACCCCCAATTAACAATATATGTGTGATATAATCAGATAAAAATACATATATAGAAAATAACAATAACCTTTATTTAAATATCCAAATCAAAAGAAAAAATAATAATGAATAAAAAGTGCAGACTAAACTCGGCTGAAAGAAAGCTGCTGAGCACATCAAGACCACATTAAATATAGTAAGTACAGATAGGGTTGTTACATAACACAGTGAGTCTAAACAATGTAACAACCTCTAACAGAAAGGCTCAAATGGCAACAGCAGCTTGTAGAAAAAGCCGAAATAGTACTCAGCTGTAACCCTAGGTATATCTAAAAAGGAGGCACTGTATAAAATACTTTCTAAAAAGCAAAACTAGTAAAGGAACCCTTACTTACTAAAGCAAAAAAAAAAAAAAAAAAATAGATGACAGATCTATTAGTGATATCCAGAAATCGAAAGGATAGTAAGATGAGTAGTAAAGAAAACTGATATAGAAAGTAAACAGCAAGCAGGAGGTAAATCCTCCACTGTAATTCTCTGAAGTAAGAGTATATATGCCCCAATAATGCCCATTGACCGGCCGGTCATATGTCAATATGGGTACAGCTAACGTACAAAAGAGTGTGTGTAAAATAGTATAACACACATGTCCGCATCAAATATTGCCCAAGCCTTCCCCACTAAAGACCAAAAGGCTGTGACTGTAGCCAAAGTCCTTTGGCAGAAGTATTTTATTCACTATGGACTACCCAATCGGCTACACTCTGATCAAGGTAGAGACTTTGAGAGTAAGTTGATCAAGGAGCTATTAGGCATGTTGCAGGTGCAGAAGTCCAGAACCACACCTTATCATCCGGAGGGTGATGCACAGCCAGAACGTTTCAATAGGACCCTCCTAGATATGCTAGGGACTCTCAAGCAAATCGAGAAGCGGTCTTGGAGTAACCATGTGGAAACCATGGTCCACGCATACAACTGTACAAGGCATGAATCTACAGGGTTCTCACCCTATTTCTTAATGTTCGGAAGAGAAGCTTGATTGCCGATAGATGTCCGGTTGGGAGTGTCTCCTGATGGAACAGATTCAACTTCACACTTTCAATATGTGAGGAACCTCAAACAAAACCTTCGTCGGGCCTACGAGTTGGCCACCCAAGCTGCAGCAAAAATGGAAGAACGGAACAAAAGAAGATATGATGCTAAGGTGAGATATCGGGAGATTCAAGCAGGGGATAAAGTTCTTCTCCGGAATCTAGGTGTGCCTGGAAAACACAAACTGGCTGACAGATGGAAAGATACCCTGTTTGAGGTTGTGTCCAAACTGGAAGGACTGCCAGTGTACAACATTCGGGGCCCCGGAGGGCCGAATAAAGTCTTGGCATAGAAACCATCTGCTTCCAGTTGTGTATACTGATGAAGAGGAAGAAAGTAGTGAAGAACTGGAGGAAACCCCAGCAGAGAGTCCTGGAAATGGGGCAGAGGAGACCCCGGGAACTCCCAGTGCAGAGGATCAGTGGTGGTCATCACCCGCTGAAGAAACACAACAATTGCCTCCTTTAACTCCTGTGGTTTCACAAAGTCCCGGAACCTCTCCTGGGTCACAAAGTTCTCCAAGGTTGAATCCAGAAAGTCCCTGTTTTGTGCCTGGAACTTCCTTAAAAACTCTACTTCGAGGGCAGGAGTCGAGGTTCCACAGTTGATGTCCCAAGATCCTCTCCCCCAGCGAGAACTGAGACACAGCACCAGAGTGCGGCAACCCCCTAGGGCCCTAGTTTATGATAATATAGGAGAGCCCAGTTATGCCCCGCTGACACAAGCAGCATTTAAAATGGCCACTTTCCTACATGCACTAGCTGAAGTGGTAAATGTTAGTGACTGTTTACCCTAAATAACTAGCTAGCTAGGATTTTACTGTGCTAACTGTACTGTAGGTATGCTAAACCTTTTTCTGTTGAATTTTTGTTAAGCTCCCTGGCTAGGACTTGCCAGTGGAAGGCAAGTATTTTCAAGGGGGAGCATGTAGCCCGTGAAGTTACACAGGCTGCATTATCTGAAATGCCCAGTAGATGGCACATGGACTCAGTATGCTGTTAATAAAACATTGAGCTCTGATCACATGACTTGCTGAAATCAGGAGATGAGTGTGGCATCATCGCAGGGCCTGTTAGGACTTCCTGCACAGCTCTGAGGGAGGAGGATTCTAAGAGTGACCACATGCTGAGCCAGAGAAAGGACATGTGAGAGACTGTAGCACAGAGATAGGACCTGGCTGAGAGAACTTGTTTCACCCAAGATCACACCAGCTGAGAGAGGGACCTGCAGAAAAGAAAGAAGACAAGCACTGAGTCCAGACGTCTGGCGAATCCAGTGAGAGGAGACTGCTGCTGACTGACCTGGTTAGTCGTGTTGTGAGGGTAAGCCAAGCCTCTCCCTGTATCACCACAGGGCACCTGTCTCCTCACTCACAGTAAAGACTCTGAGGTCCCGTGACGGACATTACACATCTGAGGCTGCTTCAGTGACCCTGCGAAGCAGGACTTATAAGGGCCCCAACTCTCCTATGTGCACCAACGGCCGCTAGGGCGAAGATAAGGGGGTGGGGCGCAGGTGTGCTGGTGGGTGAGTGAGGAAAATCCACATTTGCATTGTTATCTGTGTTACTCTATTGTATTTTCCTATGTATGTTTGTTCAATTGCTACTTACCATATAAAGTTAGTTCCAGTTAGACTGTGTCAGTCTCATTGCACCAAGTATGTTCCCAGTGGGACCCCACATCCCTACCCCGGATGCTCCACTGGGTGGAGGCACTGCCGCAGACATGTACCCCAGCTCCCAGATAGCGGAAGGCTCAGGATCCGCCTGTCAGGCATAGTGAGTTAACTAGGTTTGGGGACCCCAAAGACACTAGGGGGCACCCCTAAAACCCCGTTACATATATAATATTTCCTCTCCCTCCCTTACAACATGCTTCTAGCTCAGGAACATTCTTAGCCTGTCGCTCATGCAATGTGTGTTTGTATGTTTTGTCAACCCACAAATGTATTAATAGTGTTCAAATTTGGGGACTGCGAAAGCCATTCCGAAACTTTAATATTTTGTTCTTAAAGTAGTTTCGTCTGTGATTTTGAATTTAGTTTGGATTATTGTTAAGTTTGATTACCCAACCTCTTTCAACTTCAGTTTCCTCACTGTATGTGGGACATTAGAATCAATTTCTCCTTCTGCTTTTACAATAGTTCCACCGGCAGCCACCCATCCCCAACATATAACAGGTCCCTCTTCATGTTGACATTTAAGTTGTTCTCTTCTACAAATGCTTCTTATATTTATATATATATATATATATATATTCTACCATGATATTGGAGGCATATATTACTGTATTTACTAAAGACAGCAAAAAATAATAGCGCAAAATGAAATATGTAGAATGTATGTTAAAAGTATTCAACACTATTATATATCTTGGTTTGTGTTATGAAATGGAATTATTAAGCCTATAAGTAAGAAATAGAACGTAACTTTTAACGGTTAATAAATATTATCAAAGTTGCATTTTATTTTTTACTTGCAGGACTAATAATTCACTTTACCTTTGTTATTCTGTATCCCAGGTGGCTATCAGTAAGTAACTTACCTGTATTTTGTAAACATGCTACCTCTCTCCATTGCCTAATCCCTCTCAACAAAGAGTCCTATCCTAAATGAAATAACCACGTTTTGTGTGTTTTGTTTGTTATAATTCTCTCCAGTCGCTCCTCTCACCCCTCAGTCAGTCCTTACATTGCCTTCCTGTATCCTATAGGAGTTAATTCAAGGTGCTAACCCATACCCATAAAGCATTAAACAATTCTAGCCCCTATTATATCTCTTCACAGATCCATAGGTACGCCCTTTCTCGGTCTCTCCACTCTGCCCGTGACCTTCTCCTGTTACTCGCACCCGTACAGCCAACTCATGCTTGCAGGACTTCTCGAGGGCGGCTCCCTTCCTATGGAATAGCCTGCCTACCGCCATCAGATTCTCCCCTAATGTTCAATCATTTAAGACGTGCCTTAAACCCAGAGTTAATGGTCCCAGAGTAACCTCTACCTCACATACCTGTCTCTTGCTCTCTCCTAAAGGGCAGCACTTTACTCTCTCCTCCAGCTCGGCTTCACTCCCACCTATTTTGATTGCTATTCCCTGTCCTAATGTGTTTTATACCCCACCTCCTATAGACTGTAAGCT